TCACTCGGAGCCCATTAAAACGTGCCAACCAGTACTTTTAAAACCCTTGTGGAAGGGGGCAGAAAAAAAAGGCTCATTATTTTTCACGCATTTGAAGAAGTTCTCGAAATGGGATTTAAAACATTCACTCAGCGTCTCGTGAATGAGGAAATTTGGAAACACCACGTGGAGCTCTTCATTTGAAGCCGGGTTGAAAACAATTAGGCCGAGATGCGGGAAGAAAAGAAAAGAGCCAGATGGAAAGTGTCTAAGGGACTTCATCAGGGCTCATTTCTAGAAACAGGAACCAGCTGGTGTCTTGCCAGTGACACTTGCCACCCCCTTCTGCTGGCGTCTCATCCGGGGCTTTTGTTCTTCTCACGGAGTCACATAATAAGTAGTATAACCTTACCTTGAGAAAGAATAAAGGCGACGACCTACGAAAATAAACGCAAAAAAACTTTGAGTAGAGGTCTGCGCGCTAACTTTTTGTGCCACCAGCGTTTTTACGTACCATGAAAAGATCAGATATTTATATTATTGCTACGCATGAAGAATTGAAACCATCTTCGTCATGAAATCAACAATAACAGAAACAATTCCCTGACGCAATGTATATGTGAGAGGTAATAATTATTTTTATTTTATTTTTTTCGAAGAAATACGGAAGCGCTGTCCTCCTGTGAATTCTCTTCGTCTTTCACTGAATTTTTGCACAACACTCAAATTTTAAAGATCGGGTTTAAAAGAAAAGCATTCGTCTTCTAATCAAGTTCTTCAGAATGCAGAGCTAAAGCATGAAAAAATTAAAATTAACGCGGTATCTTCAGACCCAGATTTGTTTTTGCGTCATCGGATTTTTCTCTAAATTTTATATCATCTTCAATTTCGCTCAAATATACGATTGGCTCACGAAAAATTAAAATTGCATTTAAGAATTTGCGTGTGAAATGACTGATTGCTTCGGACCAGCACAAACTTTGAAGTAAAAATGCAGTCTGGAAGTCCATAGATCAAAGTCTTTTTGGGAGTTTCGTAAAATAAAAGTGAGATAGTGTATGTACCCTGTAATAGCAAATACGTACGAAAAAAAACATCTGAAATTAAACACGTTTCCGTGCAAAAACACAGTACTTTACTTGGTAATTTTCTGCAAACGATGAATAAAGATTCCGACATTATGAGACCTCTATATATAGCAGTGTGAATTTTCCTGATAAAAAATCCCATCAGCAAAAAAGAGCTTCAGAATCGCAAGTGACGTTTTAATAAGTTTGAGTGCAAAAAAAGCGCTCATTTCATTTCAATGGAAATTATTTAAAATTGGAGCGTATGCCATTTCGAGGTTGTCTCCTTCGTTTGCTTTTTCTTTTAAAACGACTGATTCCTCGTCGTGAATATATACAATATTTGTTGGACTGGTATATGTATACTTCATACCACTGCTGGAGAGGCATTGAAGAAAATAAAGGGGGAAGGAATTCGTTTCGCATTCGAATCCCATAGTTAATCTGCCGGATATGTTCGGGACACCAAAGACGAGGGGGTTTTCTCTACATACTGTACCTGCAAATATGATGGCGGCCATCCGGCAAAGGACTCAATAAATGAGCCGCAGCAAACGACCTGTTTTCTCGAACTGGATTCTTGTCCCCTCGTCATCTCCAACCCTGTGTTCATTTGTCACGAATGTTACTACTTGTTGCATGCAGTCGAGAATGTCTCGACCCCGTCTTGCCATTCCTGAATCTGCGCAGTCTCTGCTGAGAGGGGATTGAGTACCTGACTTGTTAAGATTCCGGGCCCGTATTCTTTGTCGTTAAGGGAACCAATTTCCTGGGGTGTCACAGTTTTTTGCGGCATTTTCTTTTATTTTTATTTCTTTGGTTCCTGGGCTTATTCCTCTCTTCAATAATAAGGCAAGAATGTTTCACTACCGTGAGACCTTACTGATAATGGGAATGAATGAACGACTGTCATGGAGTGTCTAGTTCTTTTTTTTTTCTTTTCGTCTCTTTACGTGTTCCAGTCAGAGATTATTGATGAAAATTTTCACGTTTCCAGAGGGACTCTGAAGGTTTAAACTTGTTTCCCCGGAAATTATGCATCCTTTTCCTGTTTCATTATTCCCTTCATCGAAAAACCCTCGTATTTTTTATTTTCTTCGTGTGTTCAAGAAGACGGAAATGGGATTCAAATTATGCACATGTGTTTGTTTTTCGTAAAAATTGACTCTTGAGTACGCGTTTTACTTTATTAAATAAGTAGAACATTTCGGAACGATCGTCAAAATGAAATATTTAAAGAAAATTAAAATCTGGGTCAGTTCTTGAAGGAAGTTCAATCCAATTGATTTTCTATCCTTTTTAGCAATTGTTGGAAAAAGTCGTATAAACTTTGATTCAGATTCATTGTGCAGCGACTTTTTAGAATTTGCGTGGAAAATTTCTGGTCTAAAGACACGTTTTTTGAATGACAAGAAAGGAAAAATTCAGAATATTTTGCTCAAAATAGCCTTTCAAATTCATTTCAAGTCTATAAAATGTAGAAGTTTCTAAATTGGGACAAAAATCGATAGAGTGTAATCAAAATATTATTGAAAAGTGGTACAGTAATCCCAAAAATGTCACTCGAACATAACAAATAATGCCGGGAAAAAAATTAATCACCGTTACAGTTTTCGACAAAAAGCCGCGCATTACAGTAATTCTTTTTCGGGAAAAACCGGTCCTAAATTGTTTCTCAGTCGCGTTTTTTTTTGTTTTGGCCATGAGCAGCTCTTTGCTAGAAGGAGAAAATAAATGTGCCAAAAATAGGAACAGAAGCGAAGATTGTTGCGAAGAAATATAAACGATGAGAGGGATGGAAAGCGAAACCCGAGGCAAGGAAATTTATGACAAATGTTTCGGCACTCGAGCCAGGAAAGATTGTGGCGACACAACTCACTGTCTGCTTTCCTGTCCTTCCCCCCGTTTTTTGCATACTTTTCTTCTCCTTTCCCCCCAAACTGTGCAAATCGGGTTCAAATTTCAGGGAAACTCTCCTATAAACCCTCAGGAAAAATTACAGTTTAAACTCCCACCCCTCCCCCCCCCCCCCTGAAAACGAACCTCGCATCCTCTTCAGCAATGCAGTGAATGAGTCCAGTCTGTCTTGGTGAGAATATTTTTTAAAGTTGTGGTTTTCTTTGTAACAATTTTATTTTAAAAGTGTGTATCAAATGCGTTTCTGCATTATGATCAATCCTATCCAGGTGTAACTTGAGTTATGCCTGGAAAAGTACCTAGCTGTAACTAGAAGGCATTTTGAAATGACAATCTGATACACATTATTTAAAATCCCAAGTAGGCGTAACATAGAAGAGCATGAAAAGCATAGCATTTTGGGCTAGAAATGCATTCAAAATGCCTAATTATTTGCAGTGAATTTTTAAGCTTAGAGTGACATCTGGTACAAATGCAGCTGCTGATTTATGGATAAATTGAATTGGTTCGTGAATGAATTTATATTTTTGCGTGAAGTATGCGTATTATAGAAATTAATCGAAATTAGTGCTGAATGCGTCAAAGAAGACTTGACTATATATGATGTGGGTAAAACCTAATTTAAAAATATAACCAACTCAAGAACTTTATAAGAGCGTAATGCATACTACTGGGTGTGTACTATGGTCGCCGTTTACACTGGAGCTTCCGGAGAGCTTTTTTACTCCTCGCTGGAGACAACGGCTAACTGTCAGGGCAAGTCGGTGTGCGGTCTGGTCCAGGCCGCCTGCTAATTGTCCCAGGTGGTATTGGCGAGAAACGAAATGTGCAAACAATGCTCTCCATTTATTGTTATCACCCCAACCTTTCCCCCCACTGCCACACGTGCGCCTTGTGCCAACACCTTCAAAACTTCTCCACAAAGCCTGGAGTTTGTTTCCCTGTGTTCTCTGTAAGAGAGTGGAAAGCAGAAGAGAACGGGTCAAAGTAGCTAATAGCCCACAAATGCATTAGCAAGAGAGAGAAAAACCCCCACTGCCGATTCTGGGGGGTCGAAGAACCCGCAAAATCTTGCCCATCTTGCCGAAAGGCAACGGTTTTTTTTTCTCCCTGCTAATGACACCGCAGAGAAAACCAGCACACAAACAAAAAGATAAAATAATAAGTGAGGAACTCGGGGCATTTCTATACACCCGGAAAAATGGCAGAAACTCAGTCATGTGTGTCCCAGAAAGAAGAAGCATCTATTCTGCACAAAGTTCAACGATCTTCGCAAAGGAATTTGGTGTCGAATGCGTTCAAGGATTTGCTTACAGTGGCTTATTATTGGGCTTTGTAAGGTACTGACAGATCATGCCGGACTAGTTTAAAGGTTTTAACCATAGTTAGTAGTCCAACACGTAACGCCCTTCAAAGGTATTTTACTCCCTTAAAGATGTGGCATGGAAAAAAAAATTCGAGCATCCTAAAATATATTTCTGCTCAATTTTGCTTTGCCATTTGAAGACCAAAGATTGGCAACGTTTAACTTGAATCATTCTTGGGTTTCATCTTCCGAAATTCAAAATTATTAAACATTTCTGCTTCAGGACGTCGACTGATGTTTCAAAATGAACTTCAATATTTCACTGAATGAAAAATACGCTCAGTGTGTGCTATTTTTTGTTCATCATCAGTGAGGAAGTTCTGTATTTTATTTACTCGTTCACCTTTTCCTGAAATATTGGAACACAAAATTGCAAAATGCGTAATTAGAACTTGAATCAACACGTGAAACTAATTTTTACAATCGACTTACAAGTTCGTCAGGGTGTATGTTTTTCATGTATGAAATTAAGAACAGTTTTAAGAAAAAGAAATCCACAAATTTAGTTTGAAAGTAAAATTTAATTTTGTGCAATGTTCCGCAGGGTCAGATCTGTTTTTTTTCCGAAGAAATTTCCGTGTGTTTTGCCCCCTCAAATGTCGACGGAAACATTTTTAAATTCAGCAATTATTTCAATTTCTCGTGTTATTTTATTTTTTTGTCGATTACTCATGCCGTATGCGTCGAAATTTCTTTCCGTGTTTTCGCAGCAGTTGAGCCAGCAGAGTGAAGCAGAGAAAATGGCAGCCACGCAGTTGGAACTGCACAGACTCCAACAGGATCACATTCAGCGTCACCAGGAGCAACTCCTGCAGCAGCAGCAACGTCTTCAGCAACTCCAGGTAAATTTTCATTTTCTTTAATTAAAAAAGGGAAAAAAAGAGAGCATGGAAACACGGGCAGTTTTCTATAAAGAAAACCAGGCCTTATTTATTTGTTTGATTTTTACATGTAAAAAGGAGGCACTATCGAAAAGAAAACCTGTTGATGGGGGAGCTTTTATCCTGANAAAAAAAAAAAGAAAAAAAAAAAAAAAAAAAAAGGTTCTTTCCGCATTTATTATACTCTGAAAGAATTCAGAAAAAAATTGTGGAAATTCTTTGGCTCTGGCCGTCTTGGCTTGAGTGGCGTTTGAAGCCCAGAACTGACAAGAGAAGATACAAAACAGAGTGGGATGCGAGGGCTTCTTTCCTCATCTTTAGCCTTTTTCCCTTCTAGTCAGCACTCTGTTTCTCACTAAACCATGAACTCGGCTTCTTTTTTTGTGGATTTACATTTTTGCGAAATTGAGAAGGCATAGTTCTCAAAAGTCTTCGATTTTGAATGATGTAATGGGTCAAGGGCTTTCCATTTTATCAAAGGAGAACCATTCGTGTGTTTCTTTGTTAATTTGCTCAAGAAAGAGTCCACATACTTCCTTATTATAAAGGTTAGAAAATATAGGGTATTCAGACAGGTACATGACAATGACAGGTATTCAGAAATAACCAGCATTGTGAAAAAGCACCTAGATTGAGAAATGCTCTTTTCATGAAGATCACAGAATTATGGAATATTCACCTTGTCCCGAACTTAAAACCATGTGGAAGTTGACATTGTGTAATTTTTCTGCATTAATCTATAAAAAAGGAGTAAGGGTATTTTTTGCTAAATGTATTGCCTATATATATATATACAGTATGTGCATAAATGAATAATATATCCATGCCGATTAGTGTAGCCGAAGATGCCAAAAGTTTGGATTTTCATCATTTTATTTGCACAAGAAATACTGTATTTACAAAGTGATTTTTTTTTCAATCCAACGAAAAGATTAAAAATTGAATATATTCGGGACAACATAAGCGAAAAGATTGAAAATTGAATATATTTGGGACAACATACGATTTCAGCTGCGTCAACAAATTCTGGATTCAACGGAGGTGGTGATGACCTTCTGTCAAAACCAAAATGCACTTGCAATTTCGCACGATGACCTTCATTCATCCAAATAAATGGCGAAACATATGCTGTTCTCCAAAATGAAAAGATGAATCGCAATCGTCCAATCGACGAACCATGAATTATTATACTTGTACTTATTGGCCACAAACTCAAGTTTACTTGTTGCGAAACGTAACGGACATTTTGGCAACTTGGACAAGCTCACTCTGAAACTCGTGTGGGTTAGCTCATTACTTTTCTGGTACAAACAACAGGCTTAATCTCTTTACACACACACACACACACACAGTCGAATCAGGAACAATGGGTCTTTAACAAAACATTCCTGTATTTTCCCTATACTGTTAACTGTAGTACCCTCGTGCACCTGGATCACATAACCAGACCTGGTTGAGAGCAACCATTAGCAGCAGCGCGACATTTCACTCCCACAAAACAACGCCGCTGCAAAAATAAAATAAAAAAATACTGCTAATAATGAATGAAAGAAACCTGCTCGCCTATTTGTAGCCTGTCACTTGCAGCCACCAACACGACCGAAAGGCGCCTCACAATCCCGGTATTATCCCCTCAAGGGAAAGCATTAATCAGAAGCCCCCGCGCACAACAACCAAAGCAAGCAAGCAGGAAAGCACCAGTAAAAGAAGAAGAAGAAGAAGAAGAGGAAGAAACAACAGCAAATCCTGGGGGGAAAAGAAAAAGCAGGCAGCTGTCAATCAACGTCACGCCGCGGGCCTCGACAAACGTGTTTATCCTGCAGTAACAAACGCGTGCCTTTCGGTACTTCCGTACCTTTCTCTCTCTCTCATCCCAGTCCTCCTCTTCCTCCTCCTCCTTCTTCTTCTTCTTCTGTTTCTTCCTCTTCACACACACACACACACATTCAGCAATGAACAAAGGCAAGGCAAAGAGAAAACAAAAACCAACTGGCTGCACAGTACATGTGTGGGGTATTCCAAAAGTCCTCAGATTCAAAGTACTCTTCCTCAGAGTNTTTTTTTTCTCCCTGCAAAGCTCTTTCTAGACGAAGGAAGGAAGTTTATTTCCTGAGCCGAGAACCGACGAGCCGTCATAACTTTTCTTCCCTTCCTTCCAATGTCTCTCAGCAGAATTGCTCCACCTTGTATCTGCTGGCGAGGGTCTTTCCAGAAGTTATGAGTTTGCAAGTTGTGCAATTTTTAGAGCTAGTGATTGGCAAAGAAATTGACGTAGAAGACCATGCGATGCAAAATTGGGAAGAGGAGGCAATTAAATCCCTCTCTGATTTGTACAGTTTCCCTGGAACTTTTAGGCCTCGCTGATTTCGTCTTGTTTAACAAAACCATAAAGTTATTTCTGAACAGTTGTCAAGAAAACGTCTTGCTCAGATGAACCTTTCGTAAAGTTTAATAAAGACAACTTGTTCAATACCTTCACCTTTTCGTTGATTCATTTGGGAGTTTTTACTGCGCATTCCAGGACGACTATATTCACCAGCAGTCAGGAAAATAAATTTGAGACTGATCAAGTCAGCATAATTTCAGGCACCAAAGGTGGTTGGAAGGAAAACCGAGGCATTCACGGAAATCTCTGAAAAATGTTTCAAAAATTCAAACATTTTGCGGGAACAACATATTGTTGACGGTTCCAGAATAACTTTTGCGCATTCTCAATTTCCCCTCGACTTTTAAGCGAATGAAAAAAGAAAATGTTTACGTCTCACCCTGGAAAAATTAGGTTTGAAAAGCTTCTTGGCAGCTAAAGACTGGAGATGTCTGAGCGTTTTTCCTTGTCACCGTTGAACTACTGTTCGGGTGTTTATTTATTAGTCGGCGGGTGTCCCAAGAACGGAAAATGTTTTTTTTTTGCCTGCTGGAGAGAAAAAGGAAAAAAAGAAAAAGAATCTCCTCCTCCATCCTCCCGAAGTGAAATATTTGTGTAGAAAAAGGAAGGGGCGGGGGGAAAAGAGGAAGGACTTTTCCTTGTGCAGCAGATAAATCAGCTCCGTTCCAGGAATACATATTTGCGCTTGGGTGATGAAAGTCGGGGGAGGTTTCGGGATTATTTTATTTCATTTTTGTTCTTTCAAAGTACCACGGAATAGAGTGATGGTTTTGCCGAGTTACTTCCTGCTCATGGGGCTGAGCAGAATTTAATCGAGTTATTCACACAGCAGTGAGAGGTTTGACCATCCCCTAAAAATTATATCTGATGTTGGCTTCCTTAAAGGATGAAACGATCCGTTGTATTTTTCATCATTACATACGCCGTATACTTTTGATTTTTTTTAAACCCAATTTGAGGCAGATTGGAAAAAAATTAGATCCAATGCTATAGGAAAGCCAAGACTTTTTGGACGATTGAGAACTGGAAATTCAAAGTTTAAGGATGAAAATTTGCGACAGGATTTTAGCCGCTGCTTAACCTTCCGGAACAAGAGTGTTGACGAAAAAGTTTGAAAAAATGTTGAATTAGCACAATATTGTAATTCTTAAAGTGTTTGTCTTTGAAATGTATACGACAAAATAAGACTCCAGTCGAACCGCGTCACGTATGACTCGAATGAGTGAAATGAATTCTCCTGGTCCATTTTAATCTGGTCATTTTCAGTCCACATCGGTATTCGAATTAAAAGTATCTCTTCTCTTCATTTATTCTCGTGTTTCCAGCTTTCCAGCTCGTGGTTGTCAGCGACCGCGCACCTGGCCCGAATTTCTCGTCAGCAGCACCCGAACCAGGGCGTGTTCCCGACGTCCACACCGTCGCCCACTGGCCCACAATCATCTCCAGCGGGTCTTGGTGCAGCTCCTCCAACAGCCGCCTGCAACATCTCCTTGTCTCCATCACAACAGCAGCAGCAGCAACAACAACAGCCGCCACAAAGGCGGTCGTCGTCGCCAGCCAACGACTCCGGAGTCCCGGAATCCCTGTCTCCCTCGACGACAGCCAAGACTTCGAGGAACTCGACGTCCTCGTCGTCGTCAGCGTCACTGCCGTCGACGCCGAAATCCGCGCGGTCGTCGACGGGAGAAGGCGGCGAGGCGCCGTTGAATTTATCCAAGCCGAAGAGCGGCGCCGCGTCGCCGGTTGCAACAGCAGCAGCAGCAGCAGCGGCGGCGGCAGCTGCGACAACGGCATTCCCGACTTCTGCGGCGGCGGCTGCTGCAGCTGCGGCCGCCTTTTCTGGCGCCTTCGGGAAGACCCTGCCTTCCTTAATGTTCCCGCCTTCCGCGGCGGCGTTCCTCAACGCCTACGACGCCCTCGGGGCGGCGTCTTCGTTCCCGAACCCACATGGCGCCACTGGTGAGTGCATTTTTTATTTTTATTTTTATTTTGAAAATAGCTAAGTAAACAATTTTCGGATTAGAATTTCAAAATCTCAGACTATTTTTTCTCGAGTAATATAATTTGAAAATACCACACAATACTGTATTAAAATTACTTCCCGACAAAGTCGTGGTTGAACGACTGAAGTTTATTTTTTTTACAAATGATGACATCTTCTTATGATGGGTTTTCCCTTCCATAAAATTCATTGAAACGTATTTTTTATTTCTGCCCAATTTTCAAATTTAGAAAAAGGATGGATGTTGTGAAAGTGCATTTTTCGTAAAATACTCAAGTTTTTGCGCTCCCAGTTTCTTCACAGCTAAAAACCTAATACTTTTGCGCTCCCATATTGAATTGATAGTACAGTAAAGTACAGTTTTGATGCCGATCCGTGAGGAATGGATTCAAGTTCGTTTTGAGTTTTTGGCTAAAATCCCTCTTTTAAGAGAAGGATTAAAATTAAAAATCGTAATTTACATTTCACGAGTTATCTGATCTTATGACACGGTTAGATTTCGAATGAAGCAAAATATTGTACAGTACTGTAGTTGCAATTTTTTCCTTTGTTGCTTTACTCCTTTGGTATAGATTTTTAAAGATGGGATTGATGATGAATTTATTTTGATTTTTTATTTATTTTCTGGGAAAAGGCGGTAAATTCGATCTGATGTCTCACCATCACTCGGGACATCACCACCACGGGCAGATGGGCAACGGGAACCCGTTCCTGAATGCAACAGGTGCAGTTGGTGACAATAGACCAATGCCTTGGCATTTGCCATTCCAAGGTGCAGCAGCTGGCACCACCCGAGGACTGATGGAGTCCTCGTTGACCTCTTCGACCCCGTCTGAACACGACGACTCTTCCAACGGGTCCAAGGCGAAAGATGAAGGTGAGATTGCTTGATTCCTCGAACAAAAATTGAAAGAAAAAAGAACAACTTGCTTTATCCTCATTGAGACGAACTAAGTTTGCTGCTGAAATACTCGTCGAATAGCCGGAAAAACTCGCTATAAAAACACATGATATTGTTTTTGAACTCCGGAGAAAATTAAGATGACCGCGAATGAGAGTTTTAAAAATACGAGGGTTGATCCATTTGAGCACGACCTTGGCTTTTTCTGAAGTCGGTGTGCCTTTAAAAAAAAATTTAAGAGACTGTATATAGTCCGTAATGCTGTTCTGGAATTGTATTTCCAATTTACTGAATGAAGATAAATGAAAAACTTTCCAATTATATATTGTCAGGGTTCTCCACCTTTGTCACATAGGGCTAAAAAAATTAAATTTTGGTTATTTAATCATCATGTTTCCTGAATTTTAGATGATGGTTAAAACAACAAATGAATTTCATTTGTAAGCTGACCTAACAAATGTTAGCACCATTTTACATGGGAGCAGAACTCTGGCCAAAACTTTTAAATTTTCACTTAGCATCATCCAGCATGCATTAGATTGAAAAACATATTTAGATTCCTAAAAAATCACAGAATATTTTTTTTTTTTGCAAATATGCATAATTTAAAAATGAACAAAGTCGCGCCCAAGTGGGACAACCCTCGTATTTCTTTCTTGCCCCCGGTCATTACTTATTTTTTCTTCGTTTGATTGCGGTGTCGTAAATGATTTTGAATTTTCGTTTCTTTAAAAAAAAAAATAGTCAAGATGTTTGGGGCAAAGATTATCAGACAGCAGAGGAAGGATGCCGAGGGCCAACCCCACGTCAAACGCCCCATGAATGCCTTCATGGTATGGGCAAAGGATGAACGCAGGAAAATCCTCAAACAGTGTCCTGACATGCACAACTCCAACATATCCAAAATTCTCGGTGAGTCTCTTTTTCTTTCGCTTTCAAAGGTCTTCCAAAATCAGAATTTTAGCAGAGCCTTCAACAAGCACTATATATAGTGATGAAAGATTTGCCTGAAACTTGTGACTTCAGCATCAAATGTGTCTCCACATTTTTCTGAGCCCCGACAAATTTTCAACGGAGAGGCCATTTGCTAAATTGTACTTCCTGCTTGCACATCTTTTGAAGGAAGTGAGGACAGATTTGATGGCAGTAGTGCGCACTTCCTTATTTACTCTCTCTCTGGCTGCCAATCTTAGTGGGAAATTGTTGCAAAAATAATGCAGCCCTGGATTCTCGCCCAAGAGAAATTCTCAGAAAAACATTGCGAGCTGTTCTTTCAGAAAATAACTTATTTTTTCCTGCTATATGAAGATCTTATTTTTTCTTATTAGCATTCAACAAATAGTTTTAAGTGATCGCTATAACTCTTATAAATATTTACCTGGCTGTTGTCAAAGGTTATTTAAAAATTTGTCTGCATCAGCACATCTTGAGACTTGCACAATACCAAATTGTATAACAAAGAGAGTTTCCAAGGAATGCTGAAAACACCACTTGAATGAATAAAACGAATTTGTGCGCAAATCAAAATCATAATAAATTATTTGAATACAGTATGAGTAAGCAACAAAACGAAAGCAGGAATCCCTCTCACAATGAAGGCTATTTCATGTAAACTGCTTTTTTTTTAAATTTAAATGAAAGTTTGGAGCAAAGTGAAAACCTTCTCTGGGTTTCAATTTTTGTTTTCTTCTGACTGGATTCGCTCCACAACGCAGTAGAACAGTATACATATATACACCAGTACAATTCCCCAGATGAACCTTAATAATTGCGTTCGCATGGCAAAATACAGAACCCCATTCTCACACCAGCACCTTTTTTTTTCCGCTACCCTTCACCTCACAGGTGCCAGATGGAAGGCCATGAGCAATGCGGAAAAGCAACCCTACTACGAGGAACAGTCCCGACTGTCCAAGGTGCACATGGAGAAGCACCCCGAGTACCGGTACCGACCCAGGCCCAAGCGTACTTGCATCGTGGACGGCAAGAAGATGCGCATTTCCGAGTACAAGACCCTCATGCGCCAGCGGCGCCAAGACATGAGGAGTCTGTGGTGCAGAGACGGAACCACGGGTGGTGTCCCCGGCACCGCGTCCGACGACGACGTGTCCTCGCTCCCTCATTCGCACCAACCCCACCCACAGCAACCACAGCACCAGCAGCACCACCACCACCAACAACACCAACAACACCAACAACACCAACACCACCATCACCATCCACACCTGGGGTTCCTGGGTGTTGGTCCTGGGCTCGGGAAGCAAGAGTCTAGTTTCGAGTCTGACCAAAACAGTTCTCTGGAAACTTGAAACCTGCGTTGATGTTTCCGAATTGCTTCTTGGTTGGTTGGTTTGTTTGTTTGTTTTTTTCATTCGCCCCCTTTCCCCTCACATTTTGCATGATGATCTCTTTATATCTCTTTCTCGCGTTCTGAAAATCAAGATTTAATTGTAGGGACTATATAGAGAAAGAAGAAGAAAAAACAAGAGGTGCCGAAAAAAATACGTACATTCATTTCTTCAGTGTCTGCATAAGTTAGTTACCCCAGAAGAAAAGGTTCGGCCGGGTTCTCCAAATTTCTTCCATCAACAAACACTTTATTCGTGGATTCCAAGCTAGATTTGCTGTCCAAAAACAAAAAGTATCACTCACAAAGTTGATTGATTTTCAGCACACGAAATCCCTGTTTGCTGCCAATGTGTAAGGAATTTTGGATGAATCGGCCTGAAATGAACAGACAGAAAGTGTTTTTGTCCCTGCTGATGACCCTTGTTTGTACTTCTGCGTATGGAGGGTTGCTCCATTAGCATATTGTTACATCCTTTTTATGGGGGACTTTGTTCTGATTGACCCTGTAAAGTGAAATGCTTGTGGGAATAAGCTTTAAAAAGATGTCCGATTATTATTTCCTTGTTTGTTTTTTTTCCTCTCTGTTGCCTGTGTTTTCTTTTTTTTTTGGGACTTCAAGGAAGCTTTGTAGGATCTCCACAAGACCGCCAGTGTTGAATGCTTGCTGCTTTTCATTCGCCAAAACAAAAACAAAAAACAACAGTATTTCGCTTGCCAAATGTTTTTGCCCCATTGTTGCCGATGATGTAAAAACTCGTTTGTTTTTTTTAAAAATGATGATTAACCAGCAGAAAGAAAGTGTCGCCAGGTGTTTGTTTGTTTTTCTCGGCGGATTTGTTCAGCATTATTGGGCCATTTTGAAAGAATTGTGTTTTTCGTTTTTGGAAACTGAGTGGTTCTGAGAGCTTGAGAGAGTGAAAGGACCAGAGAGTTTGACAAGGAAATAAAGTGGGGAAATAAGAAACCCGCGGTTTTTTCTTCATGTTATATTCCTTATAACCCGAATAAGAGATGAGATGGGTGAAACTCTGGCGGGATTGAAAAGAAGACCCGAGTTTCTTTTCGAGCTCAACTTTTTTTGGAACGTTGCAGAAAAGGATCCTTCCCCACAAAGGCTCATTGTTGGTGTATATATGAAGGATATACACAGCCTAAGTGGTTGTCCGTGGTTCTTCAAAGAAGTCCCCTAGAGAGGACAGGACAAAAGACAAACAGTGATATATACATCTGCAGCCGAACCTCTAACCCTACTACTTACTAGAGGAAAAGTATATTTTTTTAAAAATAAAAAATATATATATATAGGAACAACAAGAGATATGACAGAAAGGAGAACGTGTCTGAGCCCTGCTTGGATTCACTCACTGTTAATTAATTCCTTCTCTCGGCTCCACAATACTGACAAGAAGTAATTAATCCCGAGTTGTTTTCATTTTTCTTTTCGGATAAGGTATCCCTCACACACAAGAGAATAAACGTGGAATTGTGAGATGCAATTTTTTGGTTTTTTTTAACACCCACATTAGTTTTATAAACATTATTTCTTCCACTATTACGAAGAAGTTCTGCGAGTTTCTCACATAAGCTCCTCCATTTTTTTATTTATTCGCAGCAATCCCATCTTTTCAACTGAATTGCAATGAAAGTACGGCAGGAAACTTTCCATCGAGGCTTTTCGAAATGATAAATACATACTGAGAGAGATGAGTGAAAATGTTCTTATTGTTTGCGAGCCATTTTAATATGACACGCAATTTCCGGATCTAAAATACCCCTCAAACCTTAATTTAAGGAACATCTGCGACGCACTTTTATTTGAAAATATGTTCTCCGATCTCTGTTCTGGTCCATTTTCCAACCTAAAAATACACGCGTTTATACTTATGCAATTCGCTTGAACTCGATGGTTTTTTTTTTCGATGCTCTACTTTTAAAAATTAAGGACTGCGTGATGATCTTGAAAAATCTTATCTAATAGTTGTTTTCTTCCCAGCTTACTTCATGTTTTACCTCAAATAAGAAACACTTTACCCAAATTAACTAATATGGGATTATTCTTTGGAATGACGAGGACTATGTATGCTCAAGAAGCAGCAGTTGAAGAACAAAGAAGAAAGAGGCGGCCTCTCGTTTTTTTTTTCTTTCTTTCTTTCTTGGAAGCCGAGCAATTAAGACGGCAATGCGCAGTGTGCGAGTGTCAAAGACAGCAAACAGCATTATGCACAAAGGCAGTGCTGCGGAGTTTTCACGTAGTGCATATGACATGACATGACATATGAGAATACCCCGGTTCCCCAGCCCAGCTTTTTATTTTTCGTGGGGGCTGCTACGTTCACAAAGACGACAGTCACCGTTCACTACCTAGTGCCATTCCTCATCAGAGCAACGCTTTCCGTTCCATTCTTCCGCACCTCCACAAGTCCTGTGTGCTTGACACACACACACACACACACACACACAAACATTCTTAATCACACAACAACCAATGAATAAATAATATGTGCTGTACCATAGTGCACATGCATGCAACGCATTCCAGAAGAACTCATTTTTTTCTGCTTTTCCAACGCAAGGATGGCTGACGCATTGTTCTGTGCCTGCCACGAAGAATCAAAAGAAGGCCTGAAATATGCATGCAGCAAAATCTCTTCAAAAGAAACAGCCAGGGACCTGAGAACTAATTCGTTATAACGAGATTCATGCCTCTTTTAGCCTGTATAGGACCCAATTTTGGGGGTAACAGGGAATAGATGCTTCATGTATAGTATGTCCTGTACTTCCATAGCAAACATTGGAAGAACTTCCAAAATTTTAAACTTCTTTTGATGCAATAATGAAGACAAATTCTAACTTTGAAGCACAATTCTCTTATTTCAAACTTCCCTTTCTTACATTTAATAAAAATATGTCAGTGGTACCCTGCAATTCAACCTCTCGCAATTTGACTGTTCCAAAGTTTGATGATTAAATTTGCTTGGAGGGCAACTTGCAATTTGACCTTTCTCCCAAAATCTGACCTGTTTTAGCCTCTTTCCTTGTGTTGTTTTCCCTTGAATTTATGGAGTGTCTCACAACTTGACTGTTTTGCAATTTTACCCTAGTTTGGCAATGGATTAAAGGTCAAATTGCAAGGTACCGCACTATTACTGGTCATACTGAAGTGTGAGTAGAAGCAAACAGAAAATACTTGGGTAAAAGAGCATTTATTTATTTGGAACAGATTTTTCTTCACTGAAATAGTGCAATATTTTTCCAATTATACTTTCCTTTTTATTTTAAATAGCCATTTCTAAATCCTAAAATAAAGCTAAATAAATTTTGATTTGAGGTTCATTCTTCTTAAATATGCAAAATTATCTGTTTAACTTATTAGCTTAATATTTTGGAAGGTTTTTAATAGTTAAAAAGTTGTCGTTTAAATAATGAACAAGTCTCCAATTGATGAAAATTTGTATGGTCCATTGTCCATGCACCCATAATTCTGGCAAATAACTGTTGCCTTGAATTAGAGATTTAAAAAGACAATTAGTTCATTTTAATGAAATTTTTACATCATTGTCTTTATGAAGAAACTGCCATGATCAAGAATAATTCATGATAATGAAAAATTCTTCATAACAAGATTTGTAGAAAGGGAATTCCACTGTATTAGCCTCATGTCTCATCAAAAATATTACTTCTTGGAAGTGATGGAAGAATAAAAAATACACAGATTTTCGAGGAAAATCCGAATGACATTTCATTCCCTGCTGTTCTATTTTTGCTCACGGGGATAACAGGATTTCCGGAGGCAGGAATTTCTTTTTTATTCCTGCAGATGGAAAAAACCCGAAAGATGGAATGGCAGTGACTCCTTTCTTCTCATTCTTTTGCCTCATTGGCACCAAGAGGAAAAAAATCTTCATCATTCAGATTGTTCATGAGCACTATATGTATTATGCTTGCGAAGGGGCTTTCACAAAGGTCTGTTCCATCGTTTTATAAATCGAAAAAAATACCCATCAAGTAATCTTCTTCATTAATTCTCAAGAAATGGAATCATCAGTGAGTTCTGCTGAAATCAAGTGAAAATTGGCAGTAAATAATGCAAAGGTCGAACTGAGACACTTCATTTCTTGTGATGATGTGATGACATCATCTTGACCGAATTAATGTTCATTCAAATGAACCTTGTTGTCTTGCAATTTCGGGGATTTGGAATTCTGAAAAATAAATTGAGTTAAACTAGACCTTAAGAATGTATCTCAAAGATCGAAATGAATGTTGAGATCGAAATTGAAAACGTCGAAAATTTTCAAAACGAACTGTATAATTTTTTTTGCCACTGGTTTTAGTATAGGCATAGTATTTCCATTTAAAAAAGCAAATAGTGAAACACTCGCATTTCGAACACTTTTGCATCCGACGAAAGCATTTGTGTTTATCCCTCGTAAGCCAAAGAGAGGAAAAAAAGCGGGGGTTTAGCGACACGACTGCAACAGCATCAGCACTTCAGACTCCTGTCGACCGTTGTTCCGGGGTCGGAATCAAGTCCTTTATGCTCCAGGTTGTTGTCGACACTGTTCCCGACAGCTCAATACCCGTCAAATCACCCCTATTTTCCCCCTTATTTTTTCCTAGGATATGGCGAAGAAAAGCCGGTAGTCTGGAAAACCCGTCTAGATCTCGAAAATAAACCATCGCACCGGAATATCCGAGAAAAAAGACCAGCGACGAATTATTTTCTGCGAGCATTATACAGTATTAGTTGCTGCAAAATCATGATACACAAGAATTTAAATTTGAAAATAAAGATTGTGAGCGACTTATACTGTAGATGCAAAACAATAAACACCATCATACAATTCAATTCGAATTTATATCACACTTTCTGGACAATGTGCCGTGATTTTTTTTAATAACTGAAATAGCGTAAAAAACACTAATCAAATAAATTCAAATCGGGAAAATGGCTTGTTCT